AAGAAAATGTATTTACACCGCTTCAGCACAGAAACACATTATAGACACACCACAACACCCAGACTGATAGCAAATGAATAATGAAAACTAAAAATGCTGGAAACCTTCAGCAGGTTTGATGGCTTATGTAAAGACCTGAAATGGTCAGCTGTTTTTCTCTCTGACTTTCAACATTTGCTGTGCTTTGGTCACATAGATCATAACTTTATAACCTAAGCTGGATCCACGCTCCAATTTAGAACTGGGGCTGCCTTGTATAGTTAGAATAATTCTGTGTACAGCAACACATTATACCAGTGTCCTGTACGCATGTTCTCTTGGCCATGAAAGAAAATTTCACTGCACATTCAGAGAAGTGAGAAGTTTCCTCAGTGCAACAGTCAATGATGTCTTTCAACCACATTAAAAAAAACTAACAAACTGGTCATTCATCTCACTGCTGTTTCTTAGGATCTCACTGCTGCAGTGGCTTATACAGTATGTGTAAATGTTGCACTACAGAACATTTACCTTCATTTCAAAGATTTTCAACTAGACATTTAAAATTCTTAAAAGAAAATATTCAGTTTCTCACAACACCACCCCTTCCACCAAACCTCCCCGTCCCAGCAATGTATTTATTCATTTCACTAACTTGACATATGCGCCAGTTGTTTGCAAATAGAATTTGTGAATTCAACAAAGTAATCACTGTTCAGATTTCAGTTACCGCATCTCCAGTGGGGTCTATCGTGCATACTATGGTTGCTTGATCCTCTGGTTATCCCCTGGCTCAAGCCCTAGTCACTGAGAATTACAAAATATTAATTGTTTTTAGCAGTTCTGAACTTAAAACGTTAACTCTAATTTCTTTCTCCACACACCTGAGCTTCTCCAGCACCCGCATTTATTCAATTACTTTTAGTAATTGGAGAGAAGACTGGTTCTTCAAAACGGATGACAGCATTCCACATCCACCCGAAGTCTACACTCTCAAACATAGTAACTTCCAGTCATGTAATATTATTTATTTCTGTAACTGCATGCATTATTGTCCTGACAATATCCCAACTCTGGCATGAAATGTATGAGTATATGTATCTTGAAGACCTGTGCATCACAACTAATTATTTCCCTAGCCAAATTATTCCAGTACCACAATGACGTTAACATCTACCCAACAATTTGGAGGAGTGCCCAGGTCATAGAGTCATCCAGTTGTACAGCACAGAAATAAACCCTTCTGTCCAACTCGTCCATGCCGATCAGATATCCCAAATTAATCTAGTCCCAGTTGCTAGCATTTGGTCAATATCCGCCTGAACCCTTCATATTCCAAGTACCCGTCCAGATATCAAAATATATGTTGTAATTGTACCAAGCCTCCACCACTTCCTCTAGCAGCTCATTCCATACATGCCCCACCCTCTGCATGAAAAAGTTGCTCTTTAGGTCCCTTTCATCCCATTGCCCTCTCACCTTAAATCTATGCCCTCTAGTTTTGGACTTCCCTACCCTAGGAAAAAGACCTTGGCTATTCACTCGATCCCCACCCTTCATGATTTTATAAACCTCTATATGGTCACCCCTCAGCCTCTGACACTCCAGGGAAAATAGCCCCAGCCTATTCAGCCTCCCCCGACAGCTCAAACCCTCCAAACCCGGCAACGTCCTTGTAAATTGTTTTTGCACCCTTTCAAGTTTATCAACATCTTTCCTTTGGTATGGAGGCCAGAACTGCATGCAGTACTCCAAAAAATGGCATAACCAATGTCTTGTACAGCTGCAACATGACCTCCCAATTTCCAGACTCAATGCACTGACCAATAAAGGGAAGTGTACCAAACGCCTTCTTCACTACTCTGTCTACCTGTGACTCCACCTTCATGAAACTATGAATCTGCACTCCAAGGTCTCTTTGTTTGGCAACACTTCCGAGAACCTTTTCATTAAATGCATAACCCCTGCCCTGATTTGACTTACCAAAATGCCACACCTCACATTTATCTAAATTACATTCGATATGCCACTCATCAGCCCATCTGATCAAGGTCCCTTTGTAATTTTAGATAACCTTCTTCACTGTCCATACACCACCATGTTTGGTGTCATCTGCAAACTTATTCACCATTCCTCCTATATTTGCATCCAACTCATTTGCATAAATGACAAGGTGTCCCATATCAATTTAACAACGGATTACCACACTATCTTCCTCCCTATCATCAACAAAGTGCTGGAAAGAGGCATTAACTTTGTCACTTAACAATGCCTACTCACCGATAACCTGACTACAGATCTTCTCAGTTCGTGTTCCACAACAGCTAGGTAGCTGCAGACTTAATCCTACCCTTAATCCAATCACAGATGGAAGAAATGAGTCCCAAAGAAATGACATGAGCCTTAGACATGCATAAACCATTTAGCAAGATTTGATTTCAAGGAGCCTAAGCAAACAGAGGGCAATAGGTGTTAAAATTCAAGTCTCTCACATCACTCCAAAGAAAGGGGTGGTCAGAGACCTGTAACACTACTCTCAGGGTTTGAGACTACATAACTGAAAACAATAGGTTCTCCTGTTGATTATCTATGATGGTTCACTCAGAATGGGTGCTATTGCAATAACTGTCAAGAATAAAGCAATTTATTTTATTGACCACCTTGCCACTAATATCAAAATCCATTCCTTTCATCAAGGGACTGCTACTGCCACTTGATGCAAACAAGAATGTAACATAGCAGTTAACCCAAGACTACTTCAACAGTGCCTCTACCACCATAAATGCCAGGAGCAAGAATATTACAAATGATGAGGAGAGGTGAATCAGTCCTACTCTTTTCAACCTCTCCAGCTGGCCGCAACAAAGGCTTAATTTGTTTTATGTACAAGGCTTTGACTGTTTCCAGTTAAAATGTTGTTAACTGATTTTTATTGTAGATGTGAGGAGCCAATTAAAAGGGTTTCTAGAATTAAAGAAAGAGCAAGTTTATTATCAGCTCATTCCAAGCAAAATAATAAAAATGTAACATTAAATATTGGGCATCTGTGATATCACATGGTCTTTATACACATATACAAAATTGATAAGGAGCTAGCATGAAAAGGAAAATAAAGAATATTGTTTCTTTGGCGTCCTTGAGGCGTGAGGTTTTTACTTGAGATCATAGTTTTATAGTTTGTGTCTTCAACTAGCAGCAGCAATTGTCACAGTTATCCTTTGAGGTCTCAAAGTTCTGATGTGTTTTGTTTTAATAAATAGTCACCAGGTGATTTTTTTTCCCTTAAGAGACAAAGAGAGTTCCCCAGCCTTTTGTTATGCATCCTTAGTTATTTTTCCCCTCTCTCTGCCAAAAGGAGTTTCTTCATAAACAAACTTGCTTATGTATTTCCATGTTTAAATTCTTTGTCTCCAAGCTTGATAAACTACAAATAATGCTTTCAGCATCAACAGGCGAATATTCTCATCAAGGTGTAAAACAAGCTAAATGAATTTATTGAACATTGTAAAGAACCTTTTATAATGCAGAAATCAAAGCCTTGCTATTTATAGTTAACTAGAATTAACTCTCACAAGATTCACTTTTCCAATAGAATGGGCACCACTAAGCTGCAGCCACAAGCCCTGTGTAACTGAGCCTTAAAAATCCAAGTTTATTTCTCGTTTGCTGTTTTGAATTTTGTAGGCCTGGAGGTGCCGGTGTTGGACTGGGGTGGAAAACATCAGAAATCACACGACATCAAGTTATAGTCTGACAGGTTTATTTAAAAACTCAAGCTTTCGGAGTGCAGCCCCTTCGTCATGTGAAGTGAGAAAGAAGCACACAGGACACAGAATTTAAGTAAAAGATCAAAGGGCCACACAACTGATAAGGTTGCATTAAAACAAACCTAAGATGCGGTTAAATCTTTAATCAATTAGAAGATTTGAATTGATTAATATGTTTATGTAAATCCCTGAATTTCTTTCAAATCACTGCCCTGAGAGAACTAAAAGGTTTTATCAGCATAAAGAAGAGGTGAAATTTTAGGTCAGACAATGCATGTTAGGTGTCAGGCCTTGTTTAGAATCTGTTTGAGTTCTGGTGTGGAGTCAGACTGGTTTTATTTCTAAAGTAGTAATTTATAAAATGCCACATCGACTGACTGTCTATTAATTGTGTTCTTTTTGAACAAAATAGAATGTATCTGCAAATACAAATTCAACTTGTAAATTTACATGTTGGTGTGTGCATGGCGGGGGAAGGCAGGAGGGGGAGGAAGAGACAGCGAGAGCGAGAGACAGCATATGTGGAGAGAGAGAATGTGTGTGCGTTTGTGAGTGGCTATCAGCCTCTGCTCAGCGACTCTGCATGGTTGTGTATCCCGAAGTCCGCCTTGGAAGACATTTACCTGAAGATCAGAGGCTGAATGTCCTTGACTGCTGAAGTGTTCACCCACTGGGAGGGGGCATTCCTATTTGGCGATTGTTGCATGGTGTCTATTCATCTTTTGTTGCAGTATCTGCGTTGTTTCACCAATATACCATGCCTTGGGGCATCCTTGCCTGCAGCATTGAGATAGACAACGCTGGGCGAGTCACATAAGTATCTGCTGTGCACATAGTGGGTGGTGTTCCCACGTGTGAGGGTAGTGTCCATGTCAAAGATCTGACATGTCTTGCAGAGTCTGCCATGGCAGGGTTGTACAGCGCTGTGGTCGATGTTGTCCTTAAGGCTGGGGAGTTTGCTGCAAACAATGGTCTGTTTAAGGTTTGGCGGTTGTTTGAAGGCGAGAAGTGGAGGTGTGAATATCTTGGGGACGTGCTCATCATCATTGATAATGTGTTGAAGGTTGCAAAAGAACATGGCATAGTTTCTCTGCTCCCAGGAAGTACTGGATTACGAAGGATACCCTATCCATCGTATCCCGTCTTCTGAGGTTTGCAGAGAGCACACAGTAAAGCCACCACACACAGGATAATCCATAAAATCAGAACAGCAATGCAAGATATACAAGTTTCAGAGTTCTTTTATTCCAGATGTTTTTCCATGTATTCTTCTGATAGTTCCCACAGGTGATTTCTCAGTCCCTACATTCTTATGACAAATTTTGAAAGAACGCTGGGGAAAGGGAAAACTCAAGTCAGTGCTGCAATCCTGTACTTAAAGAGGATTCTTTTGGTCTTTGAAAGATGGCGAAGTTACACTCCAATAAATGTTAGCTGCCAAATAAATAGCTAGCCATTCAAATAATAAGCAGAAAGGTAACTTGTTACAGCTACAAAAGTACATTCACAACATAAAGTAAAATCAACAGTTTAATAGTTTTTAAGCTTAGCTAAATTCTAGTACATTATCACCTCATCTATTATGGAACCGTTTGAGCAGTCAATATTCTGCACAAGATTCAGACAGAAGATTTGAAAGATGGTATGTTTATTTGAATGTTGCAGATAGAAGATTTGGCTTGCAAAGGCCAAGCTGATAAATTCTTTGGAAACAATTTCCAGAGTCGAGCAGAGTTTAAACAACTGTTCTTGAACTGAAAAACTTTTAGAAAATGCATGTTCAAACAACTCAAAGAGCAGATTTTGTTTCAAGCTTCAGGGGCTGGATTCCTCCGAGGCACCTATTTGGCACATCAATCAAACAACTGTTGCACCAATACATCAAGTTAAACTAGGACGTTACTGGTTATCGGAGAAGATAACTTTATTAACACATTTTCCCTTGTATTCCACAACAGAAATCAAAACCAAGGCAGTATTTTTTAGACAAAATGCCACTATTTGTCATGATATGCAAATCGTTGGGAACATTGGTTCTGATGAAAAGATCACATTCCTGAAACTATAACTTCATTTCTCTCTGCAGATTCTTTATTCATTCATGGGATGAGGGTGTCACTGGATAGGCAGCATTTATTGCCCATCCCTAATTGCCCAGAGGGCAGTTAAGAGTCAACCATATTACTGTGGGTCTGGAGGCACATGTAGGCCAGACCAGGTAAAGATGGCAGTTTCCTTCCCTGAAGGACAATAGTTGAACCAGTTGGGTTTTTCCAACAATTGACAACGGATTCACAGTCATTAGATTCTTAATTCCAGATATTTATTGAATTCAAATTCCACCATCTGCCATGGCGGGATTTGCACCCGGGTCCCCAGAACGTTATCTGGGTCTCTGGATTAACAGTCCAGCGATAATACCACTAGGCCATCATCTCCTCGACTACCTGCGTCACTGGAGTATTTACAGCATTTTCTTCTTTTCATTATGGAAAGATGGATTTGTGCTGCTCCAAAAGCCTTATGGAATATAGTAATGCATTCAACCAAAAGGAAATGCTTTAAAATCCCTCTATCACTATCCCTCAACATTTCCTGTCTCATAGGAGATGGGGTGCAATATATACAGTTGACTGAGAGAATTTGTTCCCAGATAGTCTCACAGCTTCACCCCATCCATCATCTTGAACTTTCACTGCCTCCAGGGATGTTCAGTTGTGATTTCAAGTGTTCAGTTCCACTCGCAAATTCACAACACTGAAGTATTCCATGTCTGCATGCTACAAGACTTGGCCAACGTGTAGGCTTATCCTGAAACTCTCTACCTAACATTCTACAAGTATAAAGTTTTTGAGAAGATTTGTAGCTAAAGTTTTGGATGAGGTTAAACTTGCTCGCCGAGCCGGTATGTTTGGTTGCAGACATTTCGTCACCCTGCTAGGTAACATTGTCAGTGTGCCTCTGGTGAAGTGTTGGTGTTCTGTCCCGCTTGGTATTTGTATATCTTGGTTTGCTGGGGTGGTTAGCATCAACGTCCAGTTCTTTTTTTCAGTGGTTTGGATATCGGATCCAGTTCAACGTGTTTGTTGATGGGAGTTCTGGTTGGGAATGCCATAAACAGAGCTGCATCAGGACATTATTCAAACGAGCCACAACACCGCAGCAACCTGGAAATGCGCAAAGCAGAACAAGAGCGCTTATACGGAGATTTTTAAAAAGGAATAGATACCCAAAAAGCACAATCCACTGTTGCTTCCATGACAGACCAACCAGTCACCCTTCTGTACATCAGAGACATATCAGAGATGACCACAAGAATACTCAGACCCTAGGTATCAGGGTAGCCCACAAACCAACAACCACCCTGTGACAGCTACTGATGAACATAAAGGATCCCATACCCACAACCAATAAAACTGAGGTAATATACAAAATACCATTCAAGGATTGAGAGAAACATTACATAGGCCAAACTGGAAGAAAACTGACAAGGATACACGAACACCAACCAGCCACTAAGAGACACAACCAGTTCTCACTGGTTTCAATACACACAGACAAAGAAGGACACAAATTCGACTGGGACAACGTATCCATAATAGCACAAGCCAAACAGAGACATGCCAGGGAATTCCTGGAGGCCTAGTATTCCAACCGGAACGCCATCAACACATTGAACTGGACCTGATACACAAACCACTGAAAAACAGAACTGGAAGTGATGCTAACCACCCCAGCAAACCGAGGCATATAAATAACAAGCAGTACAGAACACCAATGCTTCACTGGAGGCGACTGACGATGTTATCTAGCAGGGTAACGAAACATCTGTAATCAAACACACCAGCTCAGCCAGCAAGTCTACAACTTCATTCTACAAGTATCTAAACTGCATGAACTGAATCTGTTCAAAGAGGCGGTTCACCACAAACTTATCAAAGGCGTTGCTTGGCCCACATGATGAACTATCTTTCATGAAACCAGAGAGAATAGATTTTGTCTTATCTGAAAGATGATTTGGCAGAAAACCCATAGTACCTTATTAAAGTATCAGCCTAGATTCAAAAAAAATTTCTAATTCAGAGATATTATTACACATCTCTGGAGGAGATGGAGCCTGACCCACAGTCTCCTGGCCCACATGGACACCACCCTTGTGCCACAACAGCCAGCTTAGATTCAACGCTTATCTTTGGAGTCGTACTTGTACCCTTTACGTTTGGCTCCATGTCAGATGTGAGAGTGTAACCACTAAGCCAAGGCTGTCAGGAACATCTGCAAACAAATGCAGCTTCAGTTTGAATTTGAATCTTTATTTAGCAGAATAACCAACATCTTCTGTCGGTTAATCAGGCATTTGGACAACCAACATAATGTTCACAAATCCTCAAAAAGTTAGGATATTTACACCCTCTGTAAGCTACTGCTGGTTTATCCTGTGGAAAATAAAACCTGTTGCTTTTCTGAAGAAGGGTCCAGACCTGAAAGGCAGCTTTCCTGCTCCTCTGATGCTGATTGGCCTGCTGTGTTCATTCGGCTCTACAAAATGTTATCTGTGTTATTGGAAAAGCTTAAGACGGGGACATTAGTACAATATAGCAGTTTAGCAGTCATGACACAAACACAGGATTAGAAAGATTGGGCCGCACAGAAAATGGCCACTTTGTCTAAGCAGTCCAGGCAAGCCTTTATTTTTCACCAAGTTCCTCCTATCCTTCCTCGTTTAACCCCAGCATAACCTCCTATACTATTTTCCCCATATGAGCTTACTTATCTTCTTTTCATCAATACCATTCATCTGAACCATTCCTTTCATAGCAAGGTCTACCTTCTCATGCCTCAAGAGGTTTTGACTGAATTCTGTATTACATTTCTTCGTGACTATCTTATATTGATGCCTCTAGGCTTACCACATGCTGTGTGTCTACTCTTATCAAAACCTTTCAAAATTTTCTTTCCTTTCAAAAGACCAGACTCAGCTTATTCACCAGGAATGTAATCAGATCAACCAAGATCTTATTGAATAGCAGAACAGGCTCATCAGTGTCAAATGCTCGTAATTTATATGATCATAGGTATCCTTTCTTTACATGTATAATCTTGCGGTACTGAATTCTTTTTTGCATTCTCTCCAGTGTGTCTATTTCCTTTTTTTAAAAAAAGGCAGCTAGAGCGGTATACAGTACTCTAGGTTTCTTCTAACCAAAGGTTAATGCAAGTTGAACAGAACTTCATTGCCTTTCAAATCAGCAATGTGACTGGCTCTCAATTGCCCTCTGAAATGGCCTAGCAAGCCACTCAGTTGTACAAATCGCTACAAAGCCTCAAAGAAATGAAACTGGACAGATTACCTGGCATCGACGTAGGCACCGTAAAAGACAATGGCAGAAACAGTCCTGTCAACCCTGCAAAGTCCTCCTCACTAACATCTGGGGTTAGTGCCAAAATTGGGAGAGCTGTGTCAAAGACTATTTAAGCAACAGCCTGACATAGTCATACTCACAGAATCATACCTTACAGATAGTGTCCCAGACACCACCATCACCATCCTTGGATATGTCCTGTCCCACCAGGAGGACAGACCCAGCAAAGGTGGTGGCACAGTGGTATACAGTGGGAGGGTGTTGCTCTGGGAGTCCTCAACATTGACTCTGGACCCCATTAAGTCTCATAGCTTCAGGTTAAACATGGGCAAGGAAACCTCCTGCTGATTACTACATACCGCCCTCCCTCAGCTGATGAATCAGTAGTCCTCAATGTTGAGCAACACTTGAAGGAAGCACTGACGATGGCAAGGGCACAAAATGTACTCTGGGTGGGGGATTTCAAGATCCACCACCAAGTGTGGCTTGGCAGCAGTATTACTGATTGAGCTGGTTGGGTCCTAAAGGACATAGCTGCTAGACTGGATCTGCAGCAGGTGGTGAGGGAACCAACAAGAGGGAAACACATACGCTACTTCATCCTTACCAAATCTGCCAGCTGCAGTTGCATCAGTCAATGACAGTATCGGTAAGAATGACCAGCGCACAGTCCTTGCGAAGACGAAGTCCCACCTTCACGGTGGAAGTTATTGTCAATGTGTTGTGTGATACTATCAGCGTGCTAAATGGGACAGATTTCGCACAGTTCTAGAAACTCAAGACTGGGCATCCATGAGGCGCTGTGGGCCATCAACAGCAGCAGAATTGTACACCAGCACAATCTGCAACCTCATGGCCTGGCATATCCCTCACTCAACCATTACCATCAAGCCAGGGGCTCAACCCTGGATCAGTGGAGTGCAGGAGGGCATGCCAGGAGCATCAGGCATACCTAAAGATGAGGTATCAACTTGGTGAAGCCACCAAACAGGACTACTTGCACGCAAAACAGCGAAAGCAGCAAGTGATAGACAGACCTAAGCAATCCCACAACCAATGGATCAGATCTAA